GGCCCTCTAGGGGTCTGTAGGGGTTGTGTACAGTGAGGATTACCTTGATATCTATAAGGAGACCCTCTAGGGGTCTGTATGGGTTGTGTACAGTGAGGATTACCTTGATATCTATAAGGGGCCCTCTAGGGGTCTGTAGGGGTTGTGTACAGTGAGGATTACCTTGATATCTATAAGGAGACCCTCTAGGGGTCTGTATGGGTTGTGTACAGTGAGGATTACCTTGATATCTATAAGGGGCCCTCTAGGGGTCTGTAGGGGTTGTGTACAGTGAGGATTACCTTGATATCTATAAGGGGCCCTCTAGGGGTCTGTAGGGGTTGTGTACTGTGAGGTTTACCTTGATATCTATAAGGAGGCCCTCTAGGGGTCTGTAGGGGTTGTGTACTGTGAGGTGGTAATGTAGTTTTCCCATCAGCAGTAGTTCAAAAGTAAGGATGATATTGGAGAATTTCTCGCGGTCCCCTTTCAGGTTCCCCACAAATTGGCCAATGGACACGTTGAATTCCTCTACCTTACATGCAAGGTATACACATGTCAACCTGGCAAAAAAAAGAGGTAACCTGTGTAACGTTTGGTAAACTGATGTTGTTTTCTGTCTAAATTTCCAAATGATGTCACTTCCTGTTTCACCACTCATAATGCCTGTTAAATGCTCAAGATGTTAAAACAATATTTTTCCAATTAAGCTGTCATTTTCTTTAACAGAAAACTTCAGTCTATGAAAAAACGCCTTTCTAGTTTCTAATTTCAACATTTTATCAACTGCTTTATTTTTACACTTTTGAAAGAAATCATATATACCGGTATGCCATTTTAGTGATTGAAAGCAGTTTGTGTTAGTTCTTAGCAAATCACCCCAGAATCTGGGATAGATAACCTGTCTTTTTGTCAGTAAAAATAAATATTTCAACTGTTTTGTTAGCAAACTTGGAACATTTAAATTTTTAAACAATGTATGAAGTTTTAAATATTCGAAAGAAATGTTTTGAATATGAAGGATGGAAATTATTTTTGTTCCATGCAACATTTTTCTGTTAAATCAAATGCTCAAAACAAATCTGTAATGGGATAATTTGATTGTAGAAATCATGTTAACAATCTTCCAAAAGCGTTAGTAAAACATTTTACATTCAACAACATATCTTTGTCATAGTCAACCATGAAAATGACAAATTACAGAGTTTTTACCTGCACCACAGAGTTAGTGTTGATGGCAGTCAGCCTGAATAGAACCAATCAGACAAAAATGGATAGAAATGTGGTGTGGATGTGGTTTTAATAGGAATTGATTGACTTGATGTTATTATTTACCAGAAATAATTGTTACTAGATTTTACACAAATTAAAAGTAATATAAATTGACATCATAGTACATACATTATATCCTTAGGGTAGTAGTCCATGGCGGAGGTCGAGGCATAAAATCGCTTGAAGTAGCAGATTGATGTCCCCTGGAACACAATATTGATAGATGTACAACCAAACATCGTTGGGTGTATGACAAATAACTTAAAGTATTCAAACACTTCAAGTTAAATTGAGTTAAAATATGTCTCATTCGGACATAGAAATCACATAGAAATGTTAAGATTGAAAGAGAGCAATGACAAGAGTTTGAGTCGTGGTGGCTGCATTGTAACCGACTAGGGTCAAAGGTCATTTCAAAACCACTTGATTTAGCTCACATGTACTATAATCTGTCAAAAAAGGTTTGTAATTGTAAACTATAGACATACAAACATTAGATTTTAATATATGACATAAAAAGTAGAGTTATATTGTATATAATGAAATTTTCACCCGGTAAAGTTTTCGCCCATCAACGATAAAATCTGTTTTCCACCAATCTTGCTCTTTACATCTAAATTCTAATTACTATTTATATTATGCTGTTTACAAAAGTCCCCTGTAATGATAAATTTCACCCTCATTTATTACCGAGGGCGAAAAAAGGTGAAAAATAAACTGCAGCAAAATTTCTCCGGTATACAGCAACACTGTGATATTAATTGTGTATGTCATACCTACCAGTACACACTTGGGCATGGGAGGCTGGAAGATGTTACAAAACTCCTTCAGGACATGCTCTATCTGCCGGCAGATTAATCTCTCCTCGTCCGGAGTGAGAAAGTGTTTGAGTTTCTGTTCCTCCTGTGTGTAAATACCAAACAATATTAGAGAATATGCCTTACTGTGTTTTATACTGAACTAACCTAATATTTTGATTTCTAAGTCATTTCCTTTTTTTCACAGAAAGCAGAGACAATACAATTATAACTAGAACACTGACAGGTCAGTAAGGGCCCCGTCTTGTGGCAATATATCCCCCATAATCATCAAGAAGCAATCTGCCCATATAGCTGAGCTTGACGTTTGACATTTGGACTTCAAAAAGAATCGCAAGGAAGCAAAATATACATTTTACATGTACTATGATGTGAGTCTTGTTTCCATCCACCTCCATATTTGCTGGGCTAACAGAAATGTAAATACCGGTGCAATACTCTTTTGTTAGCTTTGATTTGTTTTATTTCACCTTATATACCTCCTCCATCAAGAGCCAGGGTCAAAGTCAGAGATCCACTTTGTCTTTGACCTTTGGACCCAAATGACCTTGACCATTAACCCAGTGACCCTGATCTTTGGTCAGTTGACTTATTCTTTAATTCCGACCAACTTTGCTTCTTAATATCATAACAAAATGTTCATCAGTGAAAAATACAAAACTTGACCTTGACCCTTTGGACCCCGTAACCTGGACCTAAGGTCAGTTGACTCTGTGTTAAGTTCTGAACAACATTGCTTCATAATGTCATAACAAAATGTTCATCAGGGAAAAGGTACAAAATTTAACCTTCACCTTTGACCCAGTGACCTTGACCTTTGGTCAATTGACTCCTTGTTTAATTCTGAGCAACATTGCTTCAAAATGTCATAGCGAAATGTTCACCAGTGAAAAGCTACAAAATTTGACCTTGACCCCTGACCCGATGACCTTGACCTTTGGTCAGTTGACTCCTTGTTTAATTCTGATCAACTTTGCTTCATAATGTCATAACAAAATGTTCATCAGTGAAAAGATGCAAATTTGACTTTGACCTTTGAATCTAATGAACTTGACCTTTGACCTCGACTTTTTACCTCAGTGTGTCTCTTTGTTTAATTCCGAACAAATTTGCTTCATGATGTCATAGCGAAATGTTCACTAGTGAAAAGCTACAAAATTTGACCTTGACCCCTGACCCGATGACCTTGACCTTTGGTCAGTTGACTCTTTGTTTGTTTAATTCTGATCAACTTTGATTCATGATGTCAAAACAAAATGTTCATCAGTGAAAAGATGTAAAATTTGACCTTGACCTTTGAACCTAATGACCTTGATTTTTTACCTCAATGTGTATTTTTGTGAACTGAACATCTTGACCAAGTTTCATGTACATCGGTCAATAAATATTAAAGTTATCAGCCAGGAACAGAATTTGTGGACGGACAGACAGACATACAGACAGACAGACAGACAGACAGACAGAGNTACCATCCGACACAATCAATACATGTATCATCCATCTCCAACATCACAGCTGGCACATATTGTCTATATGATATCAGGATTAAAACTGTGGCAATCTGTACAGTATACCATCCGACACAATCAATACATGTATCATCCATCTCCAACATCACAGCTGGCACATATTGTCTATATGATATCAGGATTAAAACTGTGGCAATCTGTACAGTATACCATCCGACACAATCAATACATGTATCACCCATCTCCAACATCACAGCTGGCACATATTATTTGTCATAAATACAAAATCTCTTAACTTTATGACTCCTTCTAATAAAATGATTTATTTTGTATCAACTGATTTGTGAATATCCTATTCCGTCTTTTCGTATTGCAGAGTTATCTGCTCTTGTGAGCAGGTATTGATTTTTACGTCATTTGTTTGTGAGAGTAATGTCATGAATTTTTGAGAAAACGACATCATTTTCTCACACAAACTAATGACATAACAATCAATACCTGCTCACAAAAGAAGATAACTCTGCAATACGAAAAGATGGAATGTATATGTAGTGTTATTTCTTTGATGCATATCCAAATATCAAACTGCTTTTTTCTTTTGTTTTCTATCAATCAGAGCTATATTACGACTAAAAAAACATTTATTACACTGCACTACATAATTGTATCTTAAAGTTTGAATGTGTCTTTTTAATTAAAAAGCAAAAAGAACAAAATTAACTGTTATCACTATAATCATTTAAGGATTGACCTTCATTTTGAGGAAACAGTTGAAGCTGGTTACTACTATGGTAACTACGGTAGCTGTGGTTGCTAGGATAGTATAGCTCCAGTGAATCTACATTGATATATGAGTACATTTAGAAAATACACAGTGAGTTACACTATTTCCTTCCTTTCGTCGCTTTTAACTTATCAATTCAGTAATATTAGTAGCAGCACATATTTATTCATTTATAACGGTTGTTATGTACACGCTTTGACGCACTGTTCTGGTAGTAATACTGTTGAACGTCCAAAAAGGAAACTGCCTTTGTTTACTTTACAGTCAAAGAATTTTGAATGTGCATCCATGGAATAAGAAGTTAGCCAGCCTCATCAGACATAATGGATACAAAATAGGTTCCATGTTTCTAGATGTTGAAGGAACCAAACAATGGCTGTCATCGAACAGTTATCTTGCTATAAGGCCAGATAAAAAAATAGATATGTTTCCTGTAACATGTTTGAAAAATTAAGGGTAGGTAGGTAACAAATTTTGTTTCAACAAATCTTTTTATATGGTTTCATAATTTAGGAGAGTGATCTTGACATTAGCAGTGCCTCTTCGAAAACTTTCTTTTTTGTTTGGCCTAAAGCGTGAACTGCGCCATATATCTGCCAAGCCTTTTTTTCATTGTGTATATACGCTAATTTATACACAGTCAGAGTTTACTAAGCTGAAGAAGGGAGAGATGTAAATATTTATACATATTAACCATCATGTGACTGCCGTGGGTTTGTATAAACTTGCTGTTGGCCTCACTTCTCGTGGCGGCCAGCTCGGTCTCACCACTGAAGGTCCAGTATTTTCTCTGAGTACTTGTGGAGAACATGATGACGAAGAACTCCTTAATCCACAACCTGCAACATTAGTAATAAAACACACTATAACCTGTTATAAATTGAGACCCAAGCAAGAAATAGCACTTATAATTTTCATAATCTAGGAATTCTGTTGGAATGTACATCAGACACTAACCTTAGGTATACATGCATTTAGAAATTTCGCAGCCAAATTTAGCTTCAGTTTGATCAGGGACGTATATATACTGTCCCTGGTTTGATGTGGGGATGGGGTAAACACTGCTATACATGTACAGTGGACTCTGTCTAAACTCTACACTGCTGGGACCACATTATTTTGCTGGTTTGCACAGGGATTCGGACTGTAGAGTCAGCTTTAAAATCATTGCTGAATGTACTGATGGAGATCTAGAACTAAGCATCTGTACTAATTTAAATTTAAAACAAAACAAAACATTCTTTTATAATTTATCGTTACTTTCAGAATTGACCGATCTGGTTCGTCGCAGTCGTGCAAGATCATGACGATGATCACCGGCATGAGGAATATTAGTCGTTTCGGTAACTGGTCGTTTCAATAACAAGTCGTTTCGGGAGTCCTGACATTAAGAGACAAATGAGTTAACATTGATTCTAACAATGTTTTAAGCATTTTATTTTTGCTATATTGAAATTAAATTTCATGAAAGTAAAAACGTGAAACACATAGAATATATTACCACGGAATTAGAATATCTAAGTCCGTGATATTACAGACAAAATCAAATCCAGCAATATAGTTTGAACGATGTTTTTATGTTGTGTATTGGTGGCTGTGTGAATACTATTTATATTTATTCATGTGTTATTAAAATCATGTAATGGTAAATGTATGAAGGCTATAATAATTTTTATCCAATCGATTGTCTAAATTTAGTTGACATTAAAAGATGTTTAAAAAAAAATAAAAAAAAATAATGGTATCTAAAGAAGAAAAAAAACGAAAAATCATGAAACGACTTTTGACATGTCCCGAAACAACCCGAAAAAAAAGTCCCGAAACGACTTTCGTCTTGTTACCGAAACGACCTGACACCGGCATGAGTGATGATGTGGTGACAGAACGGTCTCAAGTTATGACAAATGAAGCATTGTTGCAGGGGAAATTAAAAGCGGCTGTATATAAGAATAGCTTCAGCAGTTTACCTTCAGCAATACATTGTTTACTGCTCTGTTCTGTGCTGTAAGTTGTTCAGGTTCCGTTTTGGGGCATTGCGGGTGCAGTCTGCAGCCGGAAACATCTACTCTTCGTGTAAAATTAGACACGGAATCCGGAAATAACTCTCAGCTTTTCGCCTCCGGATTTAGCGACTCAGGTCAATGAAATGTTTAAATGACAAGTTTTGATACTCAAAGCGCTTTGCACATGCTGATTAACAACAGAGGGAGGCAAAATTCGATGGTGAGAAAAATAATCTAGTGAATTAATAATAGTCTGTTTTTGTTACTACACTTGTACAGTACTTCGATTTTATATTGTTAAATGTCGATTGATGCTTGAGAAGGAATGTCTTGGCTGTTTTGTACAAGACAGAAGAATACCAGTGGCCCCGGACGATAACGTTACTGACTTTGTGCACGGTTCAATTTATCAATTTATATCTGAGGCCTCCTTCTTTACCATATAGTAACAAGGAGGTCTCAGATATAAATTGATAATTATGTATGGTAAACAGGGAGGCCTCGGATATAAACTGATAAATTGAACTGCGTTGTGGCTGAACACATGCATGCAATTAATACTGTAATCGAATAACGTCGCTACTACCTACCCGTACTACCATGCTTTCTAGTCCGTGCTGCTATCGATGACAATTATTTTTGCCTATGGGTTGTTATACCACGAACTTAGATAACAATCTAATTTCGTGGTTATACAGAATCTACACATAATGAAGTATGCAGTACTAGTATATATATACTATCCATAGGAATTCGAAACCACAGGGGAAATATTGTGACCAGTTATACGTTAATTATACTGTAGTGTTACAGGTTACAGTACTTGTCAAGATATGTTAAAAAAATGTATAAAGTAGTCGCATATTCAACCAAATAAGCGCACTTTGCCTATTATATTGCACACGTAATGTAAATGTACGTCATCCTCGATATCCAGGGGTTACTTACGCTCTACTGCACCCCTGGAATATTAGTCATAGCAAAAGTAAAGGCTCTGGTGTGCACCACCTTGTGGGTGAGACAAGAAGACTAGTTTGATCTTTTGATGTACATCAAAAGAATCTCTGGTCGTGTAACAGCAAAAAATACTGGCTTTGAAGTCCGTTGTCCCTCCTCTGTTATCTTCAAAGGACAGCGTAGGTATTAGCCAAGCAAGTGATTGTTCAGGGTTTTTTACCCACCACCAATCAAAAAGCTAGCCGTGTGCCTTCAATTTTGCTATGACATATATATATTCCAGGAGTGCAGAGAGCAAACGTGAGCGTAACCCCTGGATATCAAGGATATGTAAACGTTAAAGGGCACAAAGTCTTTGGTAAATAAAATGAAGATTATATTGGAAGATCAGTGAAGTAAGCAACATTTTAATGGGTTTTTAATAAGCATACCTATCCTCCTTCCCAGAAATATATATTTTGTGAGGAGGAAAAAAACTAGCTTCCAATGACATATAAGTCCAAAATCAATGACTCTCCTTTTAAATTTGTTTTATATGGTGGAGATATCCCCACCAAGATATTTCAAAAAGAGACAGTCAGTTAGTTCTGACTAATGACATACATATAATATATGCATATATCCATGTAATGATGTTCTGTGATACTTTACATTTGTTTACTGGATAACCCAACTAGTCGGTAGTGAAGCAGGCCTGTCACCCTAATGAGTGTCCAGGGAGTCGAGGTTATGAATCAGAAGAAAAAAGTAAGATAAATCAAATAACAAATTCCTGGGCATGCGAAAAACCTCCCTGGACACTCATTAGGGTGACCCCTTAGATGGCGCAGTCTTGCCGATTGTAGAAAAGATGCACGACTGACCATGCTTTACAAAATATGCAAAGTTACAATCAACCCCAAACACCTGGTTCCCACTACAAGACAATCACTATCATCAAAATCTTTTCTGCACTATCTCGTGTAGATAAGAATCTGTGAGGAAGGAATCCTCCTTTCCCTGGACACTCTTCATCCTGAATCATGATTATTCACCTGAAAGTACGGTCACCGGATGTGGACCAGATTCTCTACAGTTGTCAACCTCAGTTATGTAGACATTGTATTTGGATTCAGATAAATTTTCAGTAAAACAAAGGAATGTAATTATAGTATGTCAGAATCATAACACTTGTGTTTTTGTATGAACCTCCATTAATTTGTATTTATTTAGATAACAAAACCATTTTGGTTCTTCAATTTCAACACCTCACTAAGCTGATATAATCTGGGAAGCGCACACAGCCAGCACAAGAAACCTAACTTACCTGCTCCTAGACTTTCAGATGGCAGAAGAGGGCGCCACTGATGATGTTGACAGTACTGAGTCTCTGGGAGATAGTGAGGAGGCAATAGTTAAAATGTACGAGGAGATGTTTGCCGACCGGTATTCCGCAACGGATGACAGGTAGCAAAAAATATATTTGTACACTTTGTATAAAGAGTAAGGAATCAAATTTCATTTCTTAATTGATGATCGTTCATAATTGGTTTTTACAGTATAAAATCAGTAAGCTTGCCCAAATTACAATGTAAAATCAAGGGCTGACTTTATTGTTCACTTGATACTTTCGTTTAAAACATTTTAGTTTGAACGTTAGTTTAGTTTTAGATTGATCTGCCTCGAAGCTAACCCTAACCCTAACCCTAACCCTAACCCTAAAAGGCTGACTAAGCAGAAATTAAAAGAAAACATCATGTAATATTTTCAACTGCTAAATGGATCAAGGGATTTCATGATTGATTTATTAGAATCTGCTGTGCAGCGGATCAATTTTCTATTTTTATTATTAAGATAATCTTTACAATATATCAATTTTAATATTCAGGAACAACTTGTATGATATAATACACATAAGCATCAGAGAACAGCTTATTTTTACCTTACCTCATCAATATCCCTTCTTATCATGTGTTTGTTTATATAACACACAGGTTCTATATTCTAAAATTTATTGTCTGTTAATAAGAATTCTAAATTTTTTAAACAGTTTATAAAAAAAAAAATCTTGCTTCATTGTATTTACTGGTGATTTAACGTTTCTGTTGTTGTACTCTAGCTACCAGGATGTTCTTCAGTCCACTAAACCTCCTCCCCCGTGTGTGAAGAACTGGTTCCCGAAACAGAATCGAAACTTCGACCGCAATAGGTTTGTAGTAACGTGTTTTCGCCCTCTCCAATTTATCATGACAGATAATTTTAGTACACAATTAATATACAATACATATTAAGGGTTGAAATTATCACTGGGCCAACATGGCTTTTATCTGTTAAGGGCGACTATTTGGCTTGGCGATCTTGTCCTGGTACACAGGATCTATTTAGTGTTATAATGTAAAGTCCTGTACATTTATGTTTCTTTGTCCTAGTCTGAAGACAACTACAGAAATTTCCTCGAATGATGAAAAAATTTACCGCATTCCCAACATATTTACTTGGCCCCGGTAGACAACTTGATAAAATAAAATGTGATATTGAAAAAAAATTATGTAAACAATTTCATTATCTAATCTTGGCCAAAGTGTTAAGAACCTGTATGTTTTGAGTGTATTTTTTCATCTATAACAGATCAATGTCAATCTCAATCAATTTGAAGAAAAGAAGAACATGTTCTCCCATGTTCATGTTCATGTTCACCAAAGTTGAAATGATGGTTTGATTACTTTGTTGTGTGTTGTCAGAAGCTGTTGAACTTGTAAATCCTCCACAAGGTCGTACCTAGAGAATCGTTGGTAATGGAGAATGACAAAGGCCCAATGGGCCTGTTGTTTACATGAATAGATCTAGGGCCTATTCGTTTATGCGGAACAACCGGTTTGACCGTTTATAAATGTAACAATTTCGGGTATAAATCCTGGCGGACCTGCAAATGTTTATGCAGGCCTTGCAAGGCTTTGTCAAGGCTTGCCTGAAAGCAGCATCAGATTACTAGGTCCGACCTTATTTAATAAACGAACAACTGTGGTTTGGCCGTTTAAACGAAAACGGCCCGAGATATGGCCTAGGTTTAATGACAGGATTTGATGTGTGGGTTTGTGTATATTTACAGAGGAGGAGGTGGAAGAGGGTATCACCAGCGTGGTAACTATGGTAACAGAAACTACGGTAACCAGCAACATGGTAGATATGAAAATGACAGACACTCTGAAGGCCATAGAGACCAAGGTCGTTATGGCCACCACCAAGGTCATGGTCAACACAGACATGATCGGAGATACCAACCCTACTAAAGATTGTGTCTGTGATGTCGAGGATCATACAACTTTTGTGTTCGGTTCATCGTGTGATGTTCACTGTGTTGATAATTTCGAAACTCAAGATTCTCCTACCCATTTATCACCATTCATTTCCACATTGTTTTGTGTTGCACAAGTAGATCTTGGTTCAGTTCATGATTTTGACGTCATTTTGGGGTTTCTTACCCATGATGATTTTGATGTCATTTTGGGGTTTCTTACCCATGATGATTTTGGGTTCTCAAAATTATCTAATGCAAAGTTTAGTCTGAAAATATTGTCATTAAATGTGCAATAAGATTAAACATAACCCATTTGAAACAGACTTCGGTGTTTATTTTGAACAAACTTCAGTTTTCATTTAAAATTGGCTTCCATAATGATAATAAAATTCAGTGTTTATTTTTAAGAGACTTCAGCGTTCATTTTAAACTAGCTTCAGTTTTCATGATATGGCTTCAATACTTATATTAAACAGACTTTTAAGAGAATGCATGCAGTTATCATTTTAGACAGGCATCCATTTTCACGTTTAAAAATAGGCCTCAGTGTGCTGTATTTTTACATTTTTTAGCATCTTCACCCTAAAAGTAATCTAATAATCTACAATATACCGTATCTAAATTAGTTGTATTCAATTAATTTTATAGTAAATGTTTGATTGCATAATAAGAAAAAGTTGATATTTAGATTTTGGATTGGGAATGCACCAATCCAAAATCTCAATATCAACATTTTCTTATTATGCAATTAAACATTTACTATAAAAATAATTGAGTCTTAAGTATTTTTGGTTCAAAAAGGTAATTAACAGTGTTACATGTAAGGTAATTGGTTGTCACAACATTTGAAATACATTTTTTGTAAAACCATTTATATTTCAAACCGGCACTATTTATTAGCTGACCCTTATCTGATTTTAAGTGGAACAATATTAAGTGACGCTTTTAGTTCTCATAGCATTTTAACTCGGAAAAATCTACGAATTTTGAAAACACTCATTTCACTTGAATTTCGTAGAAGTCTGTATTTCGATCAGAGCCCATTTTCATGAAACAGATTTCATGCTCAAGAATGAGTTCTGTGCTCAAACCGACTTTCTTGTAACTAGCTGAAATCATGAGACAAGGTAAAAAGTAAAGTTAAGACATGAAACGATACATTTCGTTCTTTATCCAAAAATCCTCTAAATGGTTGGGGGGGGGTAATGCAGTTTTATTAATGTTATCAATGGAACAATGAATTGAGCTTGAGAACAGAATCTTTGTTTGAGCATGCTAACAGTTTGATAAATATAGTCAAAGCCAACTATCAACTTTAGATTTAACTCGTTATTTAGCTGGCTTGGTCTCTCATTCATTCATATCTATAAACAGCTTCTTCTCAAGAATGCCAAAAACAATTTCAAACAAAAAAGGTACAAATGATCCTGTTGAGTGATTACTTTTTATACGCCCGTCAAATTAGACGGGAGTATTATGGTATGGGGTTGTCTGGCTGGCGTAAACCTTTGTTTGTCCGGCAATCTCCTACATTTTTCGACCGATCTCTTTGAAACTTGATTTACATTTTAATCATGATATGAAGTTGTGTCTCCCTTTAAAGAATTTCGATTCAACAATTTTGCAAAAGTTATTGCCCTTTGTTCATTTCAGTATTTGATTTTTTGTCCAGATATGTCCTCCTACATTTTTTGATGGATTTCTTTGAAACTTAGTAGGCTAAATAATCATGATATGCTGTTGTGTTTCCTTGAAAAGAATTTTGATTCAACAATTTTTGCAGAAGTTATTGCCCTTTGTTCATTTCAGTAACAATAACAGTATATGGCATTCAACGGGCGTACATTGTTCCGCCCCGCGGTACTCTTGTTTTACCCTTTTTTTAATCCACCAATGTTTTCAAAACATCACCCAACACACGTCAGAGTAAGTAATGCTTTATTATAGTCACGAAAAAGCAATAAAACAGAACTTTGAAATATCACAAAAACATTGTCAACAACACAAGTCTGGTCGATATACAAGAGACACGTTTCAATTAAAATATTTATCAAGGTCACTACTAGAATGACATAAAAACATCAATATATTCTTAATTCAATAAATAAATTAACAAATATGAACAGAATAAAAGGAGGAATATTGCACTCAAGGTAAAAAATAAATATAGAGAAAACAAAATGTATTAAGCGTTTAACACGGATACCTGTACACGTCAACCCTAGGACAACGAATCACATCTAATTTGAATTTCATGTGAGATGGATGTCAGAATTTGTCTTTAGTAAGAAAATTGGTAATATTTTCACCAATAACAAAATCTGAGATCTCGGGTCACAGGAACCGATTCCTTACCCTAGGGTTGGTACTATCACAACGATGGAAGTGGACATTTATCTACATACGAGGGTATAGGCTAATTGTTAATTAGATGTATATTTACTGAATGTAATATGTCGTGAAATGAACATGCATGCACTACACACACTATGATGTCAAATGATGAAGTTTTCTGAATATTCATGAGATTGTAATCTTGAAAAGATGAATATAACCTATCCTGGAGAAGGATAACCTAAACGTAAAGGAATATGCTAATTACACTAACATTGAGAAGATGAATATGCTTATGAATATTTATATCAAGATGAATATGCTAATGAGTTTCAATATCTAGAATATGAATATGCATATGAGTGTCAATATCTAGAGTATCAATATGCAAATGAATTTAAATTTAAATTTAGAATATGAATATGTTAATGAGGTTTAAGAATGGTTATACTTATCTAGGAGATGAGTACATGACTGTTTTTTGTTCAAACTGTGAAATAATGAGATTATCTTAACACAGAATCAAGATGAAGGTGAGTTTATAGTGACGACTAGGGAGGATTGGTGAATGATTCCCACACTTCATCACCCTGTGAAATCAACACTTGGTCCTACTCATGAGACAATGACTGACAGACATACATTTGGAGAAATATACAACAATTCGGTTTAAAATCAAATCAATGAAAAAATATGGCTGACACTTACACAGTGTAAAATGTAAATGGTAAAATTATTATACATGATGTACATTTGTACTTTAAAAGCTAGTGATCACCTGTCACTTTGATATTGGATCACAGTAACTTATTGTGTGATAAGGGGACATAATCTGACACTGCATTGACCCTTCTAACAGCCGAACCTGGCCGAAACCAAAATCCAATAATCTGGAAAATTTGCAATCAAGATGTTACTGTTCGATGAATGAATGCCTGTTTCTGTTTCATGTATCTAGGTAATGTCTTAAAACTTATAGTTACCTAGTATACATTATCTAAATGTTTAATGATGCTGTTAGTTAAGTATACATCACACACTTATTGAATACAGAGTTAAAGGAGTTGAGGCCGGAGTCACTGATCCACTAAATACAGGAGGTCAGCTAGACTTACAGAGACTGAGGGCTGAGTCACTGACCCACTAAATACAGGGAGGCCGGAGTCACTGACCCGCTAAATACAGGAGGTCAGCTAGACTTACAGAAACTGAGGGCCGAGTCACTGATCCACTAAATCCAGGAGGTCAGCTAGACTTACAGAGACTGAGTCCAGAGTCACTGACCCACTAAATACAGGAGGGCAGCTAGACTTACAGAGACTGAGGGCTGAGTCACTGACCCACTAAATACAGGAGGCCAGCTAGACTTACTGAAACTGAGGGCCGAGTCACTGACCCACTAAATACAGGAGGGCAGCTAGACTTACAGAGACTGAGGGCTGAGTCACTGACCCACTAAATACAGGAGGCCAGCTAGACTTACTGAAACTGAGGGCCGAGTCACTGACCCACTAAATACAGGAGGTCAGCTAGACTTACCGAAACTGAGGCCGGAGTCAATGATCCACTAAATACAGGAGGTCAGCTAGACTTACAGAGACTGAGTCCAGAGTCACTGACCCACTAAATACAGGAGGGCAGCTAGACTTACAGAGACTGAGGCCAGAGTCACTGCCCCACTAAATACAGGAGGTCAGCTAGACTTACAGAAACTGAGGCCGGAGTCACTGACCCACTAAATATGGGAGGTCAGCTAGACTTACAGAAACTGAGGGCCGAGTCACTGATCCACTAAATACAGGAGGTCAGCTAGAGTTATAGAAACTGAGGCCGGAGTCCCTGACCCACTAAATACAGGAGGTCAGCTAGACTTACAGAGACTGAGGCCAGAGTCACTGACCCACTAAATACAGGAGGTTAGCTAGACTTACCGAAACTGAGGGCCGAGTCACTGATCCACTAAATCCAGGAGGTCAGCTAGACTTACAGAGACTGAGGCCAGAGTCACTGCCCCACTAAATACAGGAGGTCAGCTAGACTTACAGAGACTGAGTCCAGAGTCACTGACCCACTAAATACAGGAGGTTAGCTAGACTTACCGAAACTGAGGGCCGAGTCACTGATCCACTAAATCCAGGAGGTCAGCTAGAGTTATAGAAACTGAGGCCGGAGTCACTGACCCGCTAAATACAGGAGGTCAGCTAGACTTACAGAGACTGAGGCCGGAGTCACTGACCCACTAAATACGGGAGGTCAGCTAGACTTACCGAAACTGAGGGCCGAGTCACTGATCCACTAAATCCAGGAGGTCAGCTAGACTTACAGAGACTGAGTCCAGAGTCACTGACCCACTAAATACAGGAGGGCAGCTAGACTTACAGAGACTGAGGCCAGAGTCACTGACCCACTAAATACAGGAGGACAGCTAGACTTACCGAAACTGAGGCCGGAGTCAATGATCCACTAAATACAGGAGGTCAGCTAGACTTACCAAAACTGAGGGCTGAGTCACTGACCCAATAAATACAGGAGGTCGGCTAGACTTACCGAAACTGAGCCCGGAGTCACTGACCCACTAAATATGGGAGGTCAGCTAGACTTACAGAAACTGAGGGCCGAGTCACTGATCCACTAAATCCAGGAGGTCAGCTAGACTTACAGAGACTGAGGCCAGAGTCACTGCCCCACTAAATACAGGAGGTCAGCTAGACTTACAGAAACTGAGGGCCGAGTCACTGATCCACTAAATCCAGGAGGTCAGCTAGAGTTATAGAAACTGAGGCCGGAGTCTCTGACCCACTAAATACAGGAGGTCAGCTAGACTTACAGAGACTGAGGGCTGAGTCACTGACCCACTAAATACAGGAGGTCAGCTAGACTTACAGAAACTGAGGGCCGAGTCACTGACCCACTAAATACAGGAGGTCAGCTAGACTTACAGAGACTGAGGTATACAGGGGGTCAATACGATTTACAGGGTTCAAGGTTCAAGGCCGAAGTTGCTCACCGACTAAATATACAGAAGCTCGGATAGAATAGGATCATACAGAAAGCTTTGTTGTGAATTTATCAAACAGACTTATTTTTCATACCAGAACATCTTGGTGTCACTGATTATTTAATTAACTTGAGCTTTAGGAAAAATCTTACTGACTTGAATGAATGATTCTTGTCAAAGGTTAAATATTTATTCACGGAAATATCAAAGTGATAGGTGACTTACCGTCAGTTGCTCACATGAGAGACTTGCATAAACAGAACGATCGAAGGGTGAACATTTTGAAATCATAACACAATTTAGACAAACCATTCTGGGAAATATATTTTAGAATAACAGTTAAATATCATCTGATTGGCGAAAACAGGTGTAACTAGTAATTACTTGAATGAAAATGATTACAAACTTATAACTTTTGGTTACAAACTTGTAATAAGAGTAACCAATAGTTAGAAAACCTATAACTAGACTAACCATTGGTTACAGACTTGTAACAAGAGTAACCATCAGTTATAAACTTGCAATTAGAGTAACCATTGTTTACAAACTTATAACTAGAGTAACCATTGGTTATAAACTTATAACTAGAGTAACCATTGGTTACAAACTTGAACTAGAGTAACCATTGGTTATAAACTTATAACTAGAGTAACCATTGGTTACAAATCTTATAACTAGAGTAACCATTGCATGGTTATAAACTTATAATTAGAGTAACCATTGGTTATAAACTTTAACTAGAGTAACCATTGGTAACAGACTTGTAACTAGAGTAACCATCGGTTATAAACTTGCAATTAGAGTAACCATTGTTCACAAACTTATAACTAGAGTAACCATTGGTTACAAACTTTAACTAGAGTAACCATTGGTTATAAACTTTAACTAGAGTAATCATTGGTTATAAACTTATCTGATGATCATTATTCTACAAAGAGTAATATCGAGTTCTATTATTAGTAACATATATGGCTACTGGGAATAGATCAACATGAAGGTAATGTCATGTTTTCCCATATTGTAATGAAAACTCCCTCATCAATGACATACTAACATTTAGGGTGTATTTCTGGATTAAGATGTTACAAAGTTGTGTGATTTCTGTGTTAACTTTTCTCTAGTAGGCTGGCTCAGACACTCTCCACCAATCACAGGAACCCAAATGACAGGTTATGTTCTCTTAACAATGATTTTTATATATTACTAACTGAGGAATATGACATGAACTTTGACCTTCAGAGCACACGGCCATCTGGGTGTTGTGATGATCTCACGCCGTGTACTGTCTATACCACTGTGTAATATATAAAGTCAGTAGACATCAGCAAGGGGTACAACATTCTATTAGATCTATAATAAATATCCTTGAATGACTGAGTAAGGGTGAATACTGGTCAAACTAGGATACACTTTCAAACAAAAGCCTCTGACACATAAATCCACATTCAATTTTAGCTTTTTACATATCCATTTGATACGAAATACATGAAAACGAAAATTACAATCGAAATTTGAATATATGTATATAGCTTTGAATGCATGCTTCTTAACCTTCAATGAATTAACACGCCATCAGTAGGATCAATTTGTACAAACCAAGTCTATTATGTGTGGTATGGCATAAGGAACCTCCTCTCTCCCCTATATGTGACAATGGTAGGACTAAGGACAGGTCCAATACAAAACCGTAGGGGAGGGACTAGACAGCTGTATGTACAAAGCAGTGTGAAGTCCTAGTAATGTTCTCTGTAAACTTATTGTGACACTTATTGAAGGTAGGGGAGACAACTTCGTCACACATATGTCATACAGTAGTCAGGGGCAACAATTCTTGTCTCACACCCTACAAGAACACATGCATGGTTGTCACAAATCATAAATTAAAAATATCTTTTCATGATCCCTTAATTGGTACTACAAAAAGTATTTTCTAAATTTTAACTTTTTTACAATTAACATGAGGAATTAATCGGACGAGTGACAAAAGGTTGACTAAAGTGTACATTTAGATAAGGGATAAAATCACTTTTAATGTGTCTACAACTCAACATATTTCCAATTACAAAGGACAGATAACGCTTCAAACAGTAAGAGTTGCTTCCCTTTTGAACAGATACCATACGATATAGTGTATAGCTGTTTTATGACTTTATGGACTAGTTAAAAGTTTTATTTCGGTTTTTTTATCTTAATACCTTTGTTTTTAAATGATTTTATTTTATATCTAATTCAATACAAAATCCTAAAAATTAAAAAAATTAAAAAAAATTACCTTGTTTTTGTGAAAGTGTCACGATTTGGACAATGAAGATACCTGTTAAGGAGGGAGGTAACTCACACAGTTATGATATCCCGTAGTCAGAGAATGCTATGTCACCACTGTTTTATACACATTTAACACAAACCATTTTTGCCCTCTGAATATCACACACAGCATCAAGGTTAATCTGTCTCAGCACACCCAGACATTTTAACTCTATCTGTCTCAGCACACAGATATTTTAACTCATTTACCCCTAAAGACACATTTGAACCCTTCCAATTCAAAGGTTGGAATAGTTCATTATGAATTTTCACGGGTGAATGAGTTAAAACAGATCATTATCAGTCAAGTACATACCAATATTAATACAATTCTGTTCAGTTTGATCTGCTACTTTACACAAATCGCCGACTGACACATAATGTCTATGATAATGAAAAAAAAATTGCATTGTATACAACTAAACGACCAAAATGAGGGCCGTGACAATACATATGGTTAACTCATTCACCCCTGAAGACACATTTGAACACTTCCAATTCAAAGGTTGGAATAGTTCATTATGAAATTTCAGGGGTGAATGAGTTAAAGCTATCTGATGAATGAATTGTTCCCTCTATATCTAACTTAACATATTACAATGTCAAGTGACGTGTTCAATGTTTATAATCTATTTAATAAATGGATTTCCTGTTTTACCTTATAGAAGGGTCCCCGCTGACTTTTGCAATATTTCAATTTTTCCAAATTATATAAAGCATTAAGGTTATTTTTCCAGCATCAAAGAAGTTCTAACATTCTAAAGATAGAATAATAAAAAGTAGCTACAAAAACTGATTTTGGGCCTGTAAGTTAAACATGACCACCTTTATACTATTTACACGGCTCCTTTAATTAACAGAAAGGTACAAAGGTAGGGTTACAAGTGTATACATTGACTGTACAAATTGAGGTAAGGTAAAGCACGAGAACCCTTGGATCTAAAAGTAGACTCTTCCTACACCACACAGAGAAACCTTGTGTCCCAGGTTAGCTTACAGCCTACCAGGATAGGGTTTTAGCTTACAGCCTACCAGGATAGGGTTTTAGCTTACAGCCTACCAGGATAGGGTTTTGAAGTGTATTTATTTTCATAATGAAAAACCATTGAGATTGCTTCATAATATCATACTGTTAACTAATATCTGTTTATAATGCTTACAACAAGACATGCATGTTATTGTTCAAAAACACCAAAACGTCAGCAGGAACCCAGTGTATTTAACTCTGTATTGATATCTAACTCATTCACCCATGAAATTTCATAATGAACTATTCCAACCTTTGAATTGGGAGAGTTCAAATGTGTCTTCAGGAGTGAATGAGCTAAAAATCGCAGTTTGATAAGTGCTGTTAAAACAAGATTTCTGTTAATTCTTACTCAAATACCTCAACAATTCTACATATACAATGACTGGACTGCACTCCTAGACACCATATCTACAAATTGTGAGATGACAGACATAATTCTGGTTACATTTGACACAGAATGGTTGCATATTCATCACTTTTCTTGGATTTATTGCCATTTTACTCCAGCTTGTGTTGTCACGGTTACTGTACATATTTCCCTTAGAACCAAAAGAAATATGTAACCATGGTGACCATGAATGTCTGCAACGTTATCATACCATCTAATTAATTACAATATTAATCCTAATGTGATCTAGAATTGTTTTTAATAGGATACACAACACATTAAATTATATAAAATATCACTTACAAATGGAAATTTAAATATGTGTTAAAATGTTTCTAAGAACATAAAATAAAACTAAACATCTGAGAACTAATGAAATATCACCAAGATTAATGCACCTTACACCTCACTCCAGGTATCACATCTAATGCCTTCCCAGAGAGATACTACAATTACCTCCCTTTGTCTATTATCTCCCTTTGTTGAGTATGGCCTTCCTTTGAAATTATCTTATTCTTTCTTGGTTATATATGTTCTTTTGAGTATGGTCTTCCTTCCTCACTGATTATCTCCCTTTGTCGATGATAATCCTTTCTCAATGAAATTCTTGTGGAAATTATCTCCCTTTACCAACTATCTCCCCAAAGTGCTAATTCAGTCACAAACAATATTCTGTAAACATATCACCGATAAAAATTGTCATGCAAAACATGAAATTCGTCTTTGTCTGTAACTGATTTGACGGCCTCCACTTGAATAAGACCCTCTTTCTTTCCCTGTACACAGAAGAGTCGGATGGCGTCGATCTGTGCCAACACCTCGAAGTACTCGCCTTCGCCGTACGATAGGTAGGATGGATCAGTCGCCTCATATGCCTTCAAGGTCTGGATGTACCTGTAACCAACAAAATTCAGTCAATTTTCATAATTGTCTTCCTCTAACTTCAGGATCAGCCAATGACAGCACTTGGCCAATAAAACAATATAGACTTAATAGTTTATGCTACCTTATTATCAAAGGGGGTGCAATGAATCTAAAATACTGTTACAACTGGTAATTGGTATTTTGTTAATGAATTTAAAAAATGGCACTTTTGATATTAACAAAGATAACCTTTAGATAATACATCATTTTAGGTATTCTTTAGATAGTAGGTGGAAAGACATAAAATGTTCTTTACAGAAAAGTAGTCAAAAAAGACAGGTGGTCTTTGTAGAAATGAAGTTATAGAGGACGGATGATCTTAAAGGCAGATTTCACTGCGTACAGTAAATATATCTTGGTGCCCAAACAACACATATGATGTGAATATAAATTATAAATATTATAATAAATAGCAATTTGTTATGATAGAAAAGTCGAGAAGCATACCTGTAGACAGGTTTGAGGAACCGGAACTCTCCTTCTTCCTTTTCATCAGAACTCTTCTTTTCATTACTTGCTTTCTCCTCCTTGTTACTTTTCTGATTGGCTAGTTTCTTTTTCTCCTTTTCACCACTTGCTGCTTTACCATTGGCCAATTTTTTTGTCAAGTTTTTGGATTTATCAGATCTGCTTGGTTTTGATTGGTCAGATTTATCTGCACTGCTATTTGATGGGTCAGTCTTGACAGTTTTGCCCTTGGAGGGAGTAGTGGGAGCAGACTTAAGTATGTTGTTATCTGGCGAGTTGGAGTTGGAGTTAAGGATATCCAAATCAGCTGGTTCTTTCTTAAACGTGTTGCCGTGCAGAGACCAACGCCGTTTGGTCTTATTTGATCTCGGTGACTTGGGTGAATTGGCAGGGCTTGAGTTTGTGCTAGAAGGTGTGGAACGTCTGTTCGGCGATGCCTTTCTCTTGGGTGATTCTGGGTCATTGTTTCGTTTCTCAATATTGTCCAGGAATTTACAATTAGTAGGTAGGAAGAGCGTGGGTCCACGCTCAACTGCCTTCCACGCGGCTCGCCCAGCCGCTACGGCTTTCTTATCTCCGCCTTTACCCTTCTTTCCTTTGTCTCCCTCCAGATCTTCACCTGTCTTCCCTGCATTCTCAACATTCCCATCCTTACCCTCTGCTTTGTTTGATGCCTCTTCTTGACCTGCCTTGACTGGTGCTGCCTCCTGGCCTGCCTTGACTGGTGCTGCCTCCTGGCCTGCCTTGACTGGTGCTGCCCCCTGGCCTGTCTTGACTTGTGCTGCACCCTCTGTATCCTGGTCGACTTCCATCGTTTGGTGCAGCTTGGCCTGACCCTGGTCTAGATGCACGGTCTGCTGCAGTTTGACGGGACTGCACCGGTCCCATTGTACGGTGAGGTTCTGGTCGCGAGCCTTACCTGTCTGGTCCAGCTGGTATCGCTGCCTAAGTTTTGCCTCTCCGTTATCATCAACATGAAAGGTCTGCTGTAGTGACGCCTCCCCAGTGGTTTTATCCAGCTGGATCGTGAGAAGTTGATCCTGTCCTGCGTTTATAGCATTTTGTACGGACTTGTCTGCATCCTTAACTGCGTCCCCTTTACTCTGGGTCGCGTTTAATTCTGCTTGATCTTTTCCGAGTCCACCATTTTGGTCTCTTCCCACTCTTGTCACTGGGGAGGCATTCAAGTTTTTTGGATCCTCCTTGGTTGTTGTAGTATTAGGTCTCTTCTTTGCCGGAGCAGTGCTTGTTTGTTTTGGAGAAGGTTCTGTCTTCATTACACAGACAGATTTTGGTCGGGCCCCGACGCCGGTCTTAGTGTCGACTGGGGCCTGGTTCTGAGCTCCCGCTCCCCAGCTCCACCTGGTCTTGATCTTGGGAATCTGTGAGGCTGATGCAGCCTTTGGTGGCGCATTGTTCTCTTTCGGCAACAGAAGTTTGTCAAACAGCTTGATCAACCCCGACTTGTTTTTCCCTCCGGTCGGTTTGGCCTCTGTCTTTCCCTTGGCCATTCCCAAATTCTTTGGACGAGATGTTGCCGTGGGGATCATGGACTTGCGTTCTGCTGAAGTCTGTAATTTTCCCCCCTCTGGTTTGGCTTGTTTCTCTCCACCTGTAACTGGGGCAGCTTTGTCATCTGTCCCTGGTTCTGCTGTGACTTCAGAACTCTTCTCTGCTGGAGGTTTTGAGCTGTCTGCCAACGTCTCAGATGTATCATTTTCCAACTTTTTCTCTGCAGACGTGTTTTCTCTCTGCTCCTTGTTAAAGTCATAATCAGTGACACCCTTCCTGTATGCCGGTTTCTCACGCTGGTTTCCCATGCCAAGGAGCTTCTGTGTTATTCCCGTTACTGATTCAATCATGGTTTTCTCAATGTTTAATGAGCTTTCTTCCTCCTTATCAGGATCAAGCTTTTCTGGAAAGACTTTCATCTCATGTGTTGTTTTCTTTTCGGTTGTACTAATTTGATGACTTGGAGACAATTCCTTAGCAACAGATTCTGATACTGGCTCTGTCTTATCTATTTGAACTTTTAAAGGAGAGCTGGATTTATCTCCCTTGGCTGTATCTGAGGGTTCGGTTTCTATCTCACAATCTTGGAACTCTTCCTCCTCTGCAACAGGACATCTTCCTGTCAGCTTTTGTGGTGTGACAGTTAGTTCTGGGTTATCATTCTCCACCTTAACTACATTTTGGGTTGGCTGGTTCTGATTGGCTGGTTGTTGTGATTGACAGTTAGTTGGAGGAGCCTGAAGACCATCCCCTTTTGAGGTGTCCCATCCTGTCCACTTTCCTAGCATGCCGGTGAAACTAGATATCATACCATTGGACTCGGCCAGAACCTGTTCAGCAGGAGGCTCTGTAGCCCCGCCTTTCAGCCAATCCCATGCTTTAGAGGTGATACCAGTTGGGGTACGCCGCGGGGGCTTAGCTGGGGCTTGCTTGTCATCTGTGGGGCTCCCCAGGGGGAGACCTTTAGAGGGGCTATGTGAAGGGGAAGCAGATTTAGTTTTTGCATATTTCTCTGTCAGGAAGTCAAGTCCTAGCTGGAACGGCAACACTGCTAGTGCTTGGAGTGATGTCAGCATTTCATCATACTCCACCTGGTGGGCAGTCCGCCCAAGGACAATAACTCCGTCGGGATTATAGTACTTCTCTGTGATGGTGTCACTGTACCTCAGGTAGCCCATCCAGTAATCAAGCAGACGCAAACTGCAATGTAATCATTTACATCAGTTAGACATAACATTAACATCAGTTAGACATAACATTTACATCAGTTAGACATATCGTTTACATCAGTTAGACATAACATTTACGTCAGTTAGACATATCATTTACATCAGTTAGACAACATTTACATTAGTTAGACATAACATTTACATCAGTTAAACATAACAATAACATCAGTTTGACATAACATTTACATCAGTTAGACATACCATTTACATCGGTTAGACATTACATTTACATCAGTTAGACATAACATTTATATCAGTTAGACATGACATTTACATCAGCTGGACATAACATTTACATCAGTTAGACATATCGTTTACATCAGTTAGACATAACATTTACATCACTTGGAGTGATGTCAGCATTTCATCATACTCCCCCTGGTGGGCAGTCCGCCCAAGGACAATAACTCCATCGGGATTATAGTACTTCTCTGTGATGGTGTCACTGTACCTCAGGTACCCCATCCAGTAATCAAGCAGACGCAAACTGCAATGTAATCATTTACATCAGTTAGACATAACATTTATATCAGTTAGACATGACATTTACATCAGTAGACATAACATTTACATCAGTTAGACAGCATTTACATCAGTTAGACATAACATTTACACCAGTTAGACATATCATTTACATCAGTTGGACATAACATTTACATCAGTTAGACATATCGTTTACATCAGTTAGACATAACATTTACAACAGTTAGACATGACATTTACATCAGTTAGACATAACAATAACATCAGTTTGACATAACATTTACATCAGTTAGACATATCGTTTACATCAGTTAGACATAACATTTACGTCAGTTAGACATATCATTTACATCAGTCAGACATAACATTTACATCAGTTAGACAGCATTTACATCAGTTAGACATGACATTTATATCAGTTAGACATAACATTTACATCAGTAAGACAACATTTACATCAGTTAGACATAACAATAACGTCAGTTTGACATAACATTTACATCAGTTAGACATACCATTTACATCAGTTAGACATTACATTTACATCAGTTAGACATGACATTTATATCAGTTAGACATAACATTTACATCAGTTTGACATATCATTTACATCAGTTAGACATAACATTTACGTCAGTTAGACATATCATTTACATCAGTTAGACAACATTTACATCAGTTAGACATGATATTTACATCAGCTGGACATAACATTAACATCAGTTAGACATAACATTTACAACAGTTAGACATAACATTTCCATCAGTTAGACATAACATTTACATCAGTTAAACATAACAATAACATCAGTTTGACATAACATTTACATCAGTTAGACATACCATTTACATCAGTTAGACATTACATTTACATCAGTTAGACATAACATTTGAGTTCATTGTGTAGTTAATAGGTACTCTACATATAGATAAAGTTAACAAAGAAACAAAGCACTACTATAAGTCAAGTAGTCAGGATTGGTTTTAATATGTAGAGGAATTTAACTTAGCAAAGTTTTTGAAATAGACAACAAATTGCAAAGTTAACAAACTTTTCATACTGATGAAATGTAGAAAGTTTCATTGAAAGTCTTTGTTGGAGTCTGGACAAACACCACAAACCCCCCAACTTCATTTGAGTGTGGGCTGTCGTTCAAGTCATGCAGCTAATAAGGGGAAGTTTTTCTGACCCCCTCAACCCCCTGGATTGGCCCTCTTTGTGAACAGACATTACAAAGACTTACTTGAGCAGGCTGAAGATGAATGCTTCAAATTTCATTGAGTTGGTTGTGAGCCCGCCGTTTGCCTTCAGCTGCTGAACAAGCTCGTGCACAGCCCGTGTGTAAGGACCTGTAAAGTAGGTACATTCCATCAATATACAACAAAATACTGATATCTGTTAAATCATTCACCCCAGAGGACACATTTGAACTCTTCCAATTCAAATGTTGGAATAGTCCATAATGAAATTTCAGGGGTGAATGAGTTAAATATAAGTATTGACAGTCACCATTGTTTTATGAATCTAGACTTTATGGAACACCTTACTACATCCTGTTGGGTTCAGTTGAAGAGCTTTTGCAAATATTGGAATTAACAACCAAATCTATATGAGATACTAGATGCTTATCTGAAAAATAACAAGAAAGAAATAATTCTGTATTTATGAGTTATTTCTGAAATATAATTTTTAGGGTTAATTTACAGGCTGTAGAACTGGTAAAAACAGAATTAGATTTATACACATTCTTACCTTGTTCAGCAGAGGCCTCGGTCACCTTCCACACGGTCACCTGGACACGGCCGAACACCTGGACCCCAGCCAGGTAAGGCTTCATCCCGTCACTGACCACACGGGTCAAGACGGAACACAGCGTTGATAAAACCAGATCTCCCACCTCCGGGCTGTCTGCCGTACTCCCTAGTCGCAACTAAATATAGAACAAGATAGTTTTAGGTTTCTACATACAGATAATTACACCGAATAACAAGGTTTCCCTCTCTATATATAAAACATGATACCAAGCTTTCCCTCTCTATATATAAAACATGATACCAGGATTTCCCTTTCCATATTAAAAACATACCAAGATTTCCCTCTCTATATATAGAACATGATCCCAGGTTTTCCCTCTCTATATATAAAAGATGATACCAGGATTTCCCTCTCTCTATATAAACGATACCAGGATTTCCCTCTCTCTTTTTAAAACATGATACCAGGATTTCCCTCTATATATATAGAACATGATACCAGGATTTCCCTCTCTATATATAACAGATGATACCAGGATTTCCCTCTCTATATATAAAAGATGATACCAGGATTTCCCTCTCTATATATACAAGAGGCCCAAGGGCCTTAGCGGTCACCTGAGTTATATCATAGGTACTGGTAGCTTTATTTTATTGTTTAGATGTGATGTGGAAATCAGCATGTAAACTAAATGAAATACAATACTTGTCATGTCATCAAAGAATAAGAATTTTAAAATATTGGTAAATGTTCCCTTTGGGGCCCCGCCCTAGCCCCTGGGGATGGGGCAGGAATTCCAATTTTACAATGTAATATCCTCATCCACCAAAAATGATACTGACAAAGTTTGAATAATTTTCCCCAAATAAGATAAAATAAAATATACCCAAAAGTGTTGTTTCCCTATATAAACTATAGTAAACTTTACCCCCTCCCCAAGGGAGAAGGAATGGCCCCGGAGTCCTGAAATTTACAATTTAAATAAAGCCCCTGATGATCTTTCCCCCCATGCAGATAAAATGACTGTAGTACCTCTGAGTCTGGAGAATTTTCTTTTTGAATTATTGGTTAATTTTCCCTTTGGGGCCCCACCCTGGCCCATAGGGTTGGGGTAGGAAGCCCAATTTTACATTTTAAAACCATCTTCCTCCAAGGATAATTCTCACCAAGTAAGAATAATTTCCTACAAAAAATTGTCAAAATATACCCAAAAGTGTTGTTTCCCTATAAAACTATAGTAAACTTTACCCCCTCCCCAAGGGAAAACAGATAGCTCGGGGGTCCTGAAATTTACAATTTAAACAAAGCCCTTGATGATCTTTCCATCCATGCAGAGGACATGACTGTAGTACCTCTGAGTGTGGAGAAGAAGTTTTTTGAAATATTGGTTAGTTTTCCCTTTGGGGCCCCACCCTGGCCCCAGGGGTTGGGGTAGGAATCCCAATTTTGTAGCCTCATCTACCAAGGATGAATCTGACCAAGTTTGAAAAAATTCCATCCACTGGTTCTTGAGAAGAAGTTGAAAATGTAAAAAGTTTACGCACGACAACAGACGGAAAGTGATCGAAATAGGTCACTTGAGCAAAGCTCAGGTGACCTAACAACACGATACCAGGATTTCCCTCTATATATATAAAACATGGTACCAGGATTTCCCTCTCTATATATAAAACATGATACCAGGATTTCCCTATATATATATATATATATAAATCATGATACCAGTTAACAGTTTCGTTGTATATAGAACAATTTCTTTAACATCAAGGAAATACAGATTTTACAATATTGATCCAAGTCAAATAAACTTCCTTTATTTCACAACAATTACGAACCAGGTTCAATCAGCGTATTACTTTTTTTCTTTCTTCCTAGATGTAAATGTGGTCTCCAAGGACTTTTCAAGAAAACCCTGTAAACCCAAGTTTTTATTAACAAACCCTGTTGAAATTAAGACATTTTGAGACAACCTTGTGAATTCAAAGACTCTTTAAGATATATATTTAAGGCCTTTCAAGACAACCTTGTAAAATACATAAGATACGTCAGGGACTGAAACCGTTACCTTGTCGAAAGGGTTCATTGCTTTAGCGAAATGTCTGACTAGAGATTCAGCGGCCTGGGAAACTTCGTGAAGCATCACTGGAAATAAAAACAGAAATCTTATATCACATCAGATCTGGAAATAAAAACAGAAATCCTATATCACATCAGATCTGGAAATAGGAAACAGAAATCTTATATCACATCAGATCTGGAAATAAAAACAAAACTCTTATATCACATCAGATCTGCTGAGATATTTACATTTTTGCTCGGTAATATTGCAAACCAGGAAATTTCCATTGCATTGAACTCATTTACCCCTACAATTTGAAAATGGACTTGCCCAGTAATTGATTTGGTAAGGTACAAATGTGACTTTAGGGGTGAATGGGTTAAGCAGTCGCCTTTTTTGCCCTACATAATGAGGGCAAATTTATCATTTAAGTGAATATTAGTAAACAACATGAAATAAATGTATAATAATCAATGTGAAAGGTTGATTAAGGTAAATATAGCTTTAACCGTGGAAGGGCGAAAGTTTCTATTGGCAGAAGATTCCTGGTACATGATTATAGTAATTTCATAAGAAATAAGTTCCTGAATATAATGTGTCTGGTAAAAATAGTTAATGTTCTACATTCTTCCAATTCTGACCTCAGAGCACAAGACATTTCATTGCGATGTCATGAAGCGCTTCAAGCAGACGCAATGTCAGCCGACACGTTGTCAATGCAAGATTTACCATCCCTTCTACAATGTTATTCAAATATTTGTACGGTATTCACTGTAATTGTTTTAGTGCTAAGGTGCATGAAAAATTGACTGAAGGGTCGCTTATTAACTCATTCATCCCCAAAATCTCATAATGAACTATTCCAGCCTTTGAATTGGAAGAGTTCAAATGTGTCTTCATGGGTGGGTGAGATAAGATTACAAAATATAGATGGTCAGTCATAGTAAAGGCAACATATATTGTTGGAAACATTTCTGGGGAGTAATTCCTAAATTGTTCTCTTTTTTATTTTTTAAACACGGGTAAACAGTCTTGTCAAATTGAGAGAAAGTATTTTCTAATATTAAGCGTAATACATTTTTTTAACTGGATGTAGTCAGGATGAAGAGCATTTGGAAAGGGGTCGCTTATATCACTTTATAAGTGCTTACAAGGGGAAGGGTGCACAGTACAGCAAATACTGACACCAAGTACATGTACAGGTTAAAGGCGAGTTTGTTTATCAAAGTGTGCAGTATCGAATTCAAATATGTCTACTTATGAAGCAAAAATTATTCAGGAGCCTGATGTTTTACGGATCGCCTGAAGTCGACATATCTTACCTCTGCGGCGTGCAGTCTCGGGACCGAGAGCGAGGGCGTGGCTGAAGGGAGATAACTGTGGTTCTGGCTGGGGCGGAGACAGGAGGAACTCCGCTGGTGGAGCCGAGTCTGAGTCGGCCGACGATGCCAGACTACTCACTAACGTCTGAGCAGGGACGGGTTTGGGTGTCGACTCTGGTAACCCTGCCAACATGAACAACAGTCAGTGGTGCTATCAACCCGTTAACACAATATTCCTCCAAATATCACATAAGGATTGAATGGCATTTTTTCAATTTCATGGCATGATGCTGGCGTGGACATTGAAAAAAAACCTGTTAAATCCTTATATTTACATTCTAAATATAAGTTATTATTGACCTTAATGAAGATATTCCCTTATATTATTGATATTGAAGCGCCTGTGTCATCAGCGCAAACAATTTCCCTGGAACAGCCAAACATCACCAAAATGTTTGAATTCTAGCGGTTGCCTCATGTTAATCGAGGTGGGAGGAGAAGCTTCAAAATGACGCTGATCGAATTGCCTTCAGAGCTCTATGAATGCACTGTTCCTGGTAATACTTATAGAGAAACTTGCTGTGTAAATGTAAAGTTAACCTAAAGATAAAACATTTTCCAGGTAAAACATTTTTAGTCCAATTTTCCACTTAGGCTATGTCCCTAGTTCCCTTAGAAGGGGGTTGAAAATAGTTGTCAGGTTCTTAACTTTTGTGCCATCCCTTGATCAAAGTTTGTATTATTTCCTACTGGAAATAAATAAAATGTACCCCAAAGTGAAAATTCTTACTATGCAACAATTTGTTCTTAAACAGTATATAAGTACAGTCAAACCGGCTCATTAGATCATCTGTATCAAGAGATCACTAGCTGTGTTTGGAGACCACATTTAATGTTCTCCATTATAGCAATTTCATTGTGAACTGTCCCTGTATTAAGAGACCACCTATGTTAAAAGACCAGTTTTTGGAGTTAATTGAGGTGGTCTCTTGATACAGGTAGGACAGTAGAGCCTTACCTGGTGCCGCTGTTGACGCGGCCGGTTGCTCCTTCTGACTCTCCTTTGGTGTACAATGGACAGTCTCTTGTTTAGCTTCTGTGTCCTTTGGTGTACAATGGACAGTCTCTTGTTTAGCTTCTGTGTCCTTCGGTGTACAATTGACAGTCTCTTGTTTAGCTTCTGTGTCCTTCGGTGTACAATGGACAGTCTCCTGTTTAGCTTCTGTGTCCTCTGAGTCATCAGTATCGCTGTTAGTGTTGCGACGCTTTGGCGAGTCCTGTGGACTGATGGCATGGAAGGACACCTCAGAGGCGAAGCTCACACTTTTACGCTTCCCACTGAGTTCTTTGTCTGAGGAATCATCACAGCTCTCTTTCTTCTCCTCAACAGGTTTCTTCTGCCGTCGGCGCACGGTTTGAGAGTTGCCGACACTGTCGTCCTCAAGATAAAACATGACTGGGTCACTAGTCTCCTTCTCATCTTCATCCTCATCGCCATCCTCCACCTCTTCTTCTTCCGTTTCATCTTTGTTCTCACACAAGAAATATTCTCCGGTCTCATCCTGGAGCAGGTAGATCTCTTCGCAGGCATACGAGTGGCGATTGACCTTTTGACCTTGTAGCCTACGTCCTTCAATTTGCTGTATCAGGTATGGCTCTGACATTGACCTTGACCTTAGGACCTGCTTCTTACGAAGACAAGATTTCAAAGGCTTTTTGTCAATATTAGGAATAAGACTCGAGCTTGATGACGACCCAGATTCACTTGACAACTGGATCTGGTAGTCTAGTTTCCTACGTAAGATCAGCTGGTCCCGCCGCCACTCTGCTAACCTTTCATTCTCCATGCTAATATAACAAGTACAGTTGTCATGACAACACTGCAGTGTGTGGTCGAACCTACTACTGTAGGGAGTTGGACTTATACGTTCAGGCGAAGACACAGGTGTCTGCTCTTCTTGCAGGACGTACAGGTGCTCCAGGTGCGAGGAGTTGGTCGTTACCGTGGAGGCAACCACAGGTTTCACTGGCTGTTTAGGTCGGTGTCTAACATCCATCATCCCCGGATGTACCTCATTTGTATAACGGTGTATTTTCTTATCGTCTGGTTTCTCTGCTGTTGGTCGTACCAGGGCTTTGTTGGTGCCTTCTAGCTGATTGGTCAGAAGCTGAGGGGGTGGACCTGTAGATATCTGCCCGATATCTAAGCCATCCTCCGATTTACAAACATGGCATGGAGATTTCGAGGAACTGGAGATTTCAATGTGGGGAGGGTAGAATAGCAGCCGTTCTATGTCATTAGACGGGGATCCGGTTTGGGAGGAGCGTGGCTCGCTATATCCAGGGTCGATTCCTGACGAGGTTGAACTTGTACTGAACCCACTGCTGCTCGATCCAGACTCTGCACAATTCCGCGAGAGATTTGCGTTGATGGGATGACGCGGGGGCGCAGAGCGCGACCGTTTGTAGTTAGCACCGGACGGTGCCTCATGTCGCCCATAGTGAGAATGGTAGGCAGCCTTATTGCGAATATATTCCTGAGTTTTTGCATATTCCTCGCTCTCTGAGAATACTGGTAATGGGGTGTCTAACGGGAGTGGGTCAAAGAGCGAGATATCAGAATTGGCCGTAAAAACAGTAGCAGACAGGAAACTCAGATCGGGCAGGGATTTGTGGGAATAAAAGGTATTTTTCTCACAAATTCCAACCGTTAAAGATGTCTTCCTCCGAGCACTGTCGGCACTCTTGGACCGAGGCATAAACCCTTTAGATTTCTTGCCATCAGGTGGCTCAAATTTTGGCAAAATTTCTTCTAGTTCATTAAAACTTTCTGGTAACATTGACAACACTGAATTTTTTTCCGATATCGGTGTCGTCTGTTGAGCCGAGTCATGCATGCTTGGCTTTTTAGGTTTTACATCTTCGGTGACCGTTGTCTGTATCGCACAGTCCTTCATACTCGGCGGGAACTGGGAGCTGAAGTTTTTAGTTCCACACCAAAGAGTGATTGTAGTCGGGGAAACAACCGTCTCCTTCGTGCACTTCGTGACCTCAGTTTGTGACCCCTTAGATTTGTTGGTGGCATCGAACTTTTCCTTTTCCAGCCATTCAAGGATGCGTTTCCGAGTTGAGTACTGAAGAGGATGAGGCTGAGGAGTGGAGGCAGGGCCGGGGCTGGAATGTGTCGTCGCATTAACACCAGCAGACAGGAACTGGGCATGACTATTGGTCAGGGTATGATCACTGTACGAATCCTCGCGAGTTATTTCACTACAGTTGTTATTGTGGTGTGCCATTGGAGGGTCCGCGGGATGATGGTGAGTCTGACCAATGGGATGTTGGAACAGAATCTGTTCAATGTTTGCCATAGTTTCAGGAGAGACAGGATTTGATTGGTCCTTTGCTCTTTGGTACAAATCCAACAGATATGCCGAGTGGCGTTTGTTATGGAAGCTCTCAGCTAATCTTTGAATGTCCTGTGATGATAATGATTGCCAAGTTTGGTGGAGACACAGATCAGGCATACTCGAACTCCGTGAAGGATCCAGCACACTCTCTAACTTACCCAAACGCCGTAGACTCTTTACCTGTCTCCACGATGTCACTTTCTTTGACCTTTGTCGGCCACTAAGTGGCAGCGTTGACCTTAAGGGGGAATGACCAGCAGCCACAGGCTGAAAGCGTTTTTTAGGGGAAGTTACCTGGCAACCTCGGCTGCCGAGGTGTCGAGGCAGGGTCCCCGAACTGAAGAGTTTAAGATCCTGTTTTGAGGTCGGGGTAAGTTTGGGAGAAACAGAATCTTCACTAGATACAGAGTGTTCCATTGACGTTTCCTGTATACCCCCTAAAGCATGAAACTTTTGGCCCCGCGATCCAATCACCTTTCCTTTACCATGGGGTCCAGTTCCGGAGTAACAGAAATGAAAACTGTCTGAGCATTCCTCCCCATCGGTAGAACACACACTCCCTTGTTGCTGACTATAGCGACATTGACCTGATTCTAAAGAGGTCAAAGAGTTTTCAAGGTCAGAGCCAGATCCTTTACTGCCCTGAGACCCTATAAAGGACAGATGGTACTCATCTTTCCTGGGACAGCAGTTGAGACAGAAGTTATTTTCACTGGAAGTACGACTCGACGACATTTCCATAGTGTTTTGAACTTGACCTTGGTATTGTTCTGGCGTTAGGCCAAGTACAGGGAACTGACACTTGACAGTGACTTTGTCGAGACTGTCCGTCATCAATTGTTCCCCTGTGCCATGAAGGTCCCCGGCGCCATGAAGGTCCCCCGTAGGAGACGGCGTAAACAAAGGATTGTCACTGAAATCAAGCATATCACTAGAACACATCATCTCACGCTCACTTGTCGACACGTCCATCGCTGAGTTACGACTATAAGACAATTCGGACTCATCTGGACAAAAGAGTTCCGTAGAATTCTGATCCAGAATATTTGTTCCCTTTGCTCCTCCGCCAAAGCTGAGGTAACTCCCTGTGACCACATGAGGAAATCCAATCATAAGATCGGGATCAACACATGAACAGTTCACTCCTGGCGATGACTCGCGCAGGTTTGTATCAAATTGCACTGTAAAATCCTCATCGTAAAAATAATCATTACTCGCAGCATCATCCATCCCCCCTGCTGCGGGGAACCCTCGTGACGGGGATGGCGGAGAAAACCTTGCATGTCCGTGTTCAGGGCTATCATGAACCTTATAGGTCTCATTTTGATTGATGGTACCAGTCCTATGCCGTGAACAAGCATGCTCAGGGCTTCTTATATGTCCTCGCTGACCCCTGTTCGGGCGACGTTTTGGACTATATTGTGAGTCAGAGGAGGAGGATGACAGCTTGTCACGTCGAGGGCTATATTGCGAGTCTGATGATGACGATAGCTGGCGTGTGTGGTCACGCCGCGGACTTGACTGCGAGTCGGAGGATGATGATAAACGTCCCGGCTCACGTTTTGGGCTGTACTGCGAGTCAGATGATGAAGACACAATTCCACGGTCAGATTTCGTAGGCGACACATCACGCCATGTCAACATCTGGTTTTGATTCGTGCCCTTTTCCAAACTTTTCCATGACTTTGTCGGGCTACTGGCTGTGGAGGAACTCCCACTGCCACTACTTTCCCCGGACAAAAGTGACTTTCTCTCCTTCTTTGGGGAGAGTTCTTGCCATGTTGTTTTGCTTTTTGATGTATTTTTACCACGAGATTTCTTACTTTTGTCCTCTGTCCCTTTTGCCACATTTTGTGGGTCGAAGTTCGAGGTTTTGTTATCGCAGTTGAAGAACTGATCCATATTCCGTGTGGAATTGAATTCAATTGGTCGGTTGTTGATGACATCATTTGCTGTTATGACATCCCTTGTTCCTATGACAACTGGTCCCCTATTCAGGGTCTGGAAAATAAAGAAATGAAGGTAAGTTATTTCGATTTCAACAAATTTTACTGGACAAAAAATTGTACAATTGGATGAGACAACAGGCTTAGCCTATATAAGTCTTCTCCTTAAAGGTAAGTTATAATGAACTGTAGGATTTTAACAACCTTCAGTCATAGACACATAAATATCAGTAAGATGAACATTAAGTAATAAAAGAGATAAGTTGACATTTTTCGAATCTTGCCAAATCTCAGTTTTTATTAAGCAGTTATTGCTGAGCCCTATGACGGCTAGAAGTAAACAAATTTGGCAAGTTTTCCACCATTATTACTTATTATTGCATTACTATGTATTTTTTATAATACTTTTAAAGCATTTTCCATCTTCTCAAGGTTAAATGTGTGTTTGTGTGCATATTTGTGAAGGTATACATGCATGTGTATGTATAATATACAATGTACAAGTATACAAAAATATATAAATATATGTCGTAAAACGCGCGGCTGTTATAGCTCAAGATATGAATGTTGTGGGAAACAAGTATACTGTAAAAACAGAAATTCTCGTGTGTGGAAATGTTCGCGTTCACTCTTCAAACTGATGATGGTGTGAAAATGTTGGCATTAGTAATGGCCCTTAAATCCATATAATCTATAAATAGATATTTACGTGTGATTATTTTTGCATTAATTTAGCCAACGCAAAAAAACAAGAGGCCCAATCGGCCTGCATCGCTCACCTGGTATTAATCTCACACTTGTAATCTTAATAGTGGACTAAATAACAGTTACAGGCAGAATATCAGTGTTTGATTCATAAGAACCAATTAAAATATTCAAACATATGACGCCTGTGACCTTGAATGTTGAACAAGGACATTAGGTTGAAAGTGGGTCAAGGTCATTCATTTGAACAAACTTGGTAGCCCTTCATCCCAGCCTGCTACAGACCCAATATCAGTACCCTGGGCCTTTTGGTTATTGAGAAGAAGTTGTTTGAAGATTTTAAGACATTTGACCCCTGTGACGTTGAAAGTGGGTCAAGGTCGTTCATTTGAACAAGCTTTGTAGATCTTCATCCCAGCATGCTACTGGGCAAATATCATCAGCCTGGGCCTCTTGGTTATTGAGAAGAAGTTGTTTAAAGTAAAAAGTTGATGCCGGACGGACACCGGACGACGACAGACGGACCTTAAAATGGGCCAGGTGAGCTAAAAATGTACACACCCCAAACATTTCCACTTTTGCAGTATACAGCTTGATATAATTGTACATTGAGTGTGTTTGCTGAGTTTAATAGATGTCCGTGTGTCAAACATGCAAGAATTGTCAAAATATTTGTAACACCTGTATGTTACAGGCGTTACGAATATTAACAGTTTAAGCTGTATATCATTGAGGATATTTTAGAAGATGGGAATAATCCTTAAGTGTAATCTTCTTCAAACAAAGTTATGATTTTTATAAATTTGTCTTAACCAATCAGCTTTGAGGATTTATTCTTATGTGAGAAAGAATTTACAATACTAACCACTGGTTGTCTCATGAATCTCATGTTTGTACACAGGTAGATTGTTTCACTGATTAAGGTAGTGAAAAGGTGAGAAATTAAAATCTCATTAACTCTTCAATCAACACATTGATTTCTCACCAATTCTCACCAACAGTGTTTATATCATTGAGATTTGAGACTGATCATAACACCTCTGCATCAATATTCCTCTCAATAACTGATATAGCACTGAGTAATCCACATATGTATTTAACAGAAATGCTGGGAAATTCACCGGTATATTTCTCTCACAAATCTTCATACAAATAAGTTGGTAATAAAGTACAATCCAACTTTAGAATGATGGAAATCACAAATCACAAATACACAAATTGTTTTCACTCTTTCCTATACAGTGAAGCATTTACAGGGTTAAAATAATATCCCATATTTCCTCTCCAGAGGGGTTCAACAATTTCTTTATGGACTTCAGTTCTATGGAGGTTCTACAGTCTCTGTATGTGTACAATGTCTGTACTGACCTCACTCCTATGGGGGGTCTACAATGTCTGTACTGACCTCATCAGGCATCATCTTATCCCTGTATTAACCTAAGGGATTACATTAGGACTTCATTGGGATCCAGTGCCCATATTAAACCATACTGTCATTATTACATTGCACCACATAAAACAGTTTCAGTTTCAGCACCATTCAACATATTATATATTTACAGAGATTAGCACAGTTGTTCCTCTGTCTCAGCACCACAGAAAACAACGTCACTTGCAGCATCATCAACACAGTTTAGGAATTATATTTACAAAGTATATATAGCACAGTTGTTCCTCTGTCTCAGCACCACAGAAAACAACGTCCCTTGCAGCATCATCAACACAGTTTAGGGATTATATTTACAAAGTATATATAGCACAGTTGTTCCTCTGTCATAGCACCACAGAAAATAATGTCAGATTAAGCACTACCCAAACACATCACAGAATTATGTGTACATGGTACAGACAATGGCAAGTTTTTCCTAGTGAGTGTTACTGCACTACAGAACAGTATAACAGCACCATCTGTACACAGGCCGTGCTGTAGCCGTGATTCACACAGGCCTGGGGTATGGTCCTACATGGTACAGACAGTTAAGTGTATCATCACATTCCCTGATATGCTGCCAACTTTCTTAAGAACTTCCTTTTTTTCCTGTGAATCCAAAAATACCTGACTGTACAGTACAGTGATACACAGGTTTAACCATCACTGTGTTTACAATGTCCGCCTGCTAATGAGCTAGGCTATCAGCCAACGCACTGGCATGAACAGTGTACTAGACAACTATTCTCCCTTTCTGGCTACAGTCCCTAACACGTGCAGCACATACTGGAAACCACTCAAGTTTCGAGAAATTTAATTTTCGAACTTCTTATTGAATATATTCAGGGAATACAATCTTCCTAGTGGGACTCTACACAGCTGTTTCCCAATGATTCCAGCAGCTGCTTGGTAAACAAGCTAAGGCTGAGGGTACAGTGGGTTGAAAGCTCTGGTGTCATAAGTGATTTATCACATTTTCGCTGTGTTTACTGTCTCATATCAAATCAGTTAATATATATATCACAGGTAGTAAACCCTGTCTACTCTGACACTGTGATAAACAATGAAACTTGTCTACTATGATACCCTTTGTGATATGCAGTAAAACCTATCTACTCTGACACCCTGTGTGATATACAATGAAACCTGTCTACTCTGACACTGTGATATACAATGAAACCTGTCAACTGACACCCTGTGTGATATACAGTAAAACCTATCTACTCTGAAGCCCTGTGTGATATACAATGAAACATGTCTACTCTGACACCCGTGTGATAAACAATGAAACCTGTCTACTCTGAAACCCTGTGTGATATACAGTAAAACCTGTCTACTATGACACCCTGTGTGATATACAGTAAAACCTGTCTACTCTGAAGCCCTGTGTGATATACAATGAAACATGTCTACTCTGACACCCTGTGTGATATACAGTAAAACCTGTCTACTCTGACACTGTGATATACAATGAAACCTGTCCACTGACACCCTGTGTGATATACAATGCAACCTGTCTACTCTGATACCCTTTGTGATATACAGTAAAACCTGTCTACTCTGAAACCCTGTGAGATATACAATGCAACCTGTCTACTCTGAAACCCTGGTGAGTGGGATCTGCAATAATACCTGTCTATTCTGACACCCTGTGTGATCTACAGTGGGACATGTTTACTCTGAAACAAGTCAGACTCTGACAATCCCCTCCCACTGTGTGTTGCTCTCAAACAAGTCAGACTCTGACAAACCCTGGTGAGTGGGATCTGCAATAAAACCTGTCTACTCTGAAACCCTGTGAGATATACAATGCAACCTGTCTACTCTGAAAACCTGGTGAGTGGGATCTGCAATAAAACCTGTCTACTCTGAAACCCTGTGAGATATACAATGCAACCTGTCTACTCTGAAAACCTGGTGAGTGGGATCTGCAATAAAACCTGTCTACTCTGACACCATGTGTGATATACAATGAAACATGTCTACTCTGAAACCCTGTGAGATATACAATGAAACCTGTCTATTCTGACACCTTGTGTGATATACAATGCAACCTGTCTACTATGAAACCCTGGTGAGTGGGATCTGCAATAAAACCTGTCTACTCTGGCACCCTGTGTGATCTACAGTGGGACCTGTTTACTCTGAAACAAGTCAGACTCTGACAATCCCTCCCACAGTGTTACTTTCAAACAAGTTAGACTCTGACAATTCCCTCCCACAGTGTTTTACTCTCAAACACATCAGACCCTGACAATCCCCTCCCACAGTGGGTTACTCTCAAACAAGTTAGACTCTGACAATTCCCTCCCACAGTGTTTTACTCTCAAACACATCAGACCCTGACAATCCCCTCCCACAGTGTGTTACTCTCAAACAAGTTAGACTCTGACAATCCCCTCCCACTGTGTGTTACTCTCTAACACATCAGACTCTGACAATCCCCTCCCACAGTGTGTTCCTCTCACACAAGTCGGACTCTGACAATCCCCTCCCACAGTGTGTTACTCTCAAATAAGTTTGACTCTGACAATCCCCTCCCACTGTGTGTTACTCTCAAACACATCAGACTCTGACAATCCCCTCCCACAGTGTGTTCCTCTCACACAAGTCGGACTCTGACAATCCCCTCCCACAGTGTGTTACTCTCAAATAAGTTTGACTCTGACAATCCCCTCCCACTGTGTGTTACTCTCTAACACATCAGACTCTGAGAATCCCCTCCCACAGTGTGTTCCTCTCACACAAGTCGGACTCTGACAATCCCCTCCCACAGTGTGTTACTTTCAAACAAGTTAGACTCTGACAATTCCCTCCCACAGTGTTTTACTCTCAAACACATCAGACTCTGACAATCCCCTTCCACAGTGTGTTACTCTCACACAAGTCAGACTCTGACAATCCCCTCCCACAGTGTGTTACTCTCAAACACATCAGACTCTGATAATCCCCTCCCACAGTGTGTTACTCTCACACACATCAGACTCTGACAATCCCCTCCCACAGTGTGTTACTTTCAAACAAGTCAGACTCTGACAGTACCCTCCCACAGTGTGTTACTCTCAAACAAGTCAGACTCTAACAATCCCCTCCCACAGTGTGGTGCTCTCAAACAAGTCAGACTCTGACAATCCCCTCCCACAGTGTGTTACTCTCACGCACATCAGACTCTGACAATCCCCTCCCACAGTGTGGTGCTCTCAAACACGTCAGACTCTGACAATCCCCTCCCACAGTGTGTCACTCTCAAACAAGTCAGACTCTGACAATCCCCTCCCACAATGTGTTACTCTCAAACAAGTCAGACTCTGCCAATCCCCTCCCACAGTGTGTTACTCTCACACACATCAGACTCTGACAATCCCCTCCCACAGTGTGGTGCTCTCAAACAAGTCAGACTCTGACAATCCCCTCCCACCGTGTGTTACTCTCAAACAAGTCAGACTCTAACAATCCCCTCCCACAGTGTGGTGCTCTCAAACACATCAGACTCTGACAATCCCCTCCCACAGTATGTTACTCTCAAACACATCAGACTCTGACAATCCCCTCCCACAGTTTGTTACTCTCAAACAAGTCAGACTCTGACAATCCCCTCCCACAGTGTGGTGCTATATTGATGTCTGTGACTACTGTATGTTGTGTAATGAGGAGATAATTAGTTTACTGGCTGTGAAGCAAATTAACAAATCTGATTAGGATCCGCCCATAATTAATAGGTCAAAAGTTCAACCACATTCAGTGAGAATAAAAGGACAGATATGTTTTTATTTTCATAACTTTGATATTTTTCGTAATTTCTGCAAGGGAATTCTATATGTTCCAGACATTTCCTATTTCCTATGGTACAGAATTTTAAGGTAATGAGTATGTACCGCTGCATCAGTAATAATTGCAAACATTCAAATTGCAAACACCTACATTTCCGTAAAAATGCATGGCAACATCATGCGATTTTTATGGAATATTTCTTTTGAAAAGGACTTACACATATATTTCGCAATAGTGACAAGGATACCAATATAGTTTTGTACTTAACAAGGCTCAATATGGTTGTAGGTTTTAAGATATTATATATTTATTCAGAACAAGTTTAATGAGAAGATAAAATAAATCATTCATGAATGAGCTGACTTGCTCTGAGATAACTAACAGACAAATAGCGTTGTCTATACATCCATTTTCACACCACAAAACATCTGAATTATTTATAGATGCTATTTTCAGATTTGTAAAAGTGATCCCACCAGATATTTCCAGCGTTTTGCTATTTGATTTCACTATGTGTTAAAAGCTCCAGAAATTCTCCAAGGAAAACACAATATGATATTGTCAGTGTAAACACTATAGGTCGGACTGCTGGGCGTCACTTACCCGTGAAAATGTGACATTACATCACACGTGATGTCCTCTGTGAACATAAATCACTTTTACTACAAATTATCATTTTAATACATGTATATATCCTAGCTGAGATACTATATATAAATCTCCTTTTTCAAAACAAATCTAGTTGAATGAAGACAGCGATCTCTTCAATATTTGTTTGGTTAAGTGTTCGACACCAAATCCAGACATGACATGGACCCCTAATGGACAATTAATACTAAAACAATCCTCATTTATCAAGCAATATCTACAGCAATTATCACACGAAAACCAAAAAGAGTTAATGAACAGAAACGGAAGATAATGATGTTTTTCGTTATTCAAGGGGCCATTACTCCGCCAAATAAAGTCCGCTGAAAAACGGTCATTGAACTTGGTTGAGTCCTTAAGGCATTTAATCCTGTTTAAGACCTTCATAACACAAAAGAAAAGGAAAGTGTCTTTTATCTCTAGACATTTCCAGCTGTAAGCTGTAAATTGCATGTTGGCTGGGCAACGTGTAGTGTACAATAAACATAATAGCGAACATCAGTTATGTGATGTTCTTCATTTCGGCACATTTGACACTAAAATATGTCTTTAAATAACTGTCTCGGATATCAAATTGGATGCTTCGTCAATTCTTAAAATTCATTTTACATTGGGGGGCTTCGCCCATCTAAGCCCCCCCTCCACCATAGCCCTGCCTTGGACTTGCTCGGGGCCTGGGCTTACACATATGGATGGGCCTAGCTACGCCCCTGGTATACAACCTGTCTTCCCTAAACTGAGAATGGGAATGGTATGACCTATCTTTCCAATACTGACACTGGAATTACAAGGTACTTATAATCTGCCTTAATTCCTAGAACTGATTAACTAGGGAGTCGTACAACCTATCTCCCCCACAGTAACACTGGGATTGGTACAACCTAATTCCTCCACATTGACACTGTGAGTGGCATAACCCGTGTTTCCCACTTTAACGCCTTGAGCGGTACAACCCATCTCCCCCACAGTAACACTGGGATTGGTACAACCTATCTCCCCCACACTGACGTATCTATCACTGGCGTCTACCATTACCGACT